AGTGAGCAGCACCGGGGCATCTTAAACCTCTCCTGGCTGTCTGCAGGCGAAGCTGTGCCACTTGCATGTGTCATCCTGTGGAGCTGTTGCTGCCCAGGGAAGTATTGCCCAGTGTGGCTGTTTAGCCACAGCCCTGACCTGTTCCCATGGCTCTCCACAGCGGATGGGCGCCATGGGATTGTCCGTGTGGACCGGGTGCCACTGGCAGCCAAGCTGGTGGATCTGCCCTGCATCATCGAGAGCTTAAAAACCATCGACAAGAAAACCTTCTACAAGACAGCGGATATTTGCCAGGTATGGACCGTCCTTCTCACCTGCCCCAACAGCTTAATTCCCTGCTCCCCCTCTAGGAGGGCCCTTGCACCCTCTGGCAGCTGGACATCCAGTATAACGTGGCCAATTCCTGTACTCTCACACTATTAGCAGTTTAAAATTCCCCATTCCACCTGGTGTTTAGAAACCTCATTTCTGGAGCGTGGAATAGGATTGTCCTTGCGACAGCTTGACTGCTGCTGTGTCCAGCTGAGCTGGGTGTGAAGCTGTGTTTCCCACACCCTGTGCCCCTGAATCCCTGTGGCTCACAGCATTCAGTGGGCAGACACTGTTCCTTCACGTCCTCTTGCCTTTACAATAAAACTCTGCATTTCTGTGGGGATTCCAGATGCTTGTTTGCACCGTGGATGGTGATCTCTACCCCCCTTTGGAAGAGCAGACTGTGAGCACTGACCCCAAGGCAAACAAGAAGAAGGACAAGGACAGAGAGAAGAAATTCATATGGAACCATGGCAGTGAGTAGAGACTGTGCCAAGCCCCTCCAAACTCCTCCACCTCAACACCCCACAGCTGTGCAGGGTGCTCACAGCTGCCAAGTACTGGCCGCGCTGCTGCTCTATTTCCAGGGCTCTCTCTGCTGCTGAAGGGGCTTCTCCCTTCAGAAGGCATGCACTTCTCTCACTGGGCCATCTGCCTGACATGTGCAATCTGTTTCCTCTGTCGCAGTCACTCTCCCCCTGAAAAACGTGCGGAAGAGGCGATTCCGGAAGACGGCTAAGAAGAAGGTGAGTTGCTTCTCACACAGATGCAGATGCAATACCCAAGGGATAGGAAGGCAGAGACATGAGTGCTGTAACTGTCTATTGGTCCAGAAAACAAGGGATTTCTTAATGTTCCTGCACATGTTTTCTTGCCTGAGGTGAGGGTGAAGGGAGGGAGTAAATTTAAACACTTCTTTTTGTGCTTCCTCCATGTTTTCCAAGATGCTCCTGAGGGGAAAATCCTCTATGCAGAGTGCTGTTGGACTTCATTCCTGTGGCTGCCTTGCCATAGCACATCTCCTTCTGTGCTCAGAGAGAGGAAAGGAAAGGAGACTCGCATGGAAATGAGGCTTCACTCATTCCTGCTTTCCCAGTCTTCTCTCCCTGCATGGCCCTTTCCCTTCCCCAACAGGCAGTGCTACAAATAGTACAACTGTCACTTCAGCTGTGGGAGTGACAACAGATGGAGCTCAGAGACTGTCTCTGCGTATGCACAAGCCAGGCAAGGTGTTGGGGAGATGCAGCACCCTGAGGCTGGGAAGACTTGTTCTTCTCTCCTTTGCAGTTTCTGAGAACAGGATGGAGTGTGATTTTGCATGACATTTGGGAAACAAATTACTTGAGATGTTCTTATAGCCCACAGGAGAGATAGCACAGCAGTAAGATTCCTGATTAATTTAAAAGTGAAAAAGCAAACCATCTTTTAAGTGAGATCAGAAGGAGTCGAGCTGACCATCAACACCTCAAGGCCTTTCTGCATACACATGGAAAGTCTGATTTCATGAGTAGTGTGAGCAGAAAAGCAAGAGCAAACAACTAACCAGGGAGCTCTGTACAAAAAAAAGAGAGATTGTTGTAGGGGGTGCACAAATTATTACATCTTGGTTGAGCATAAACAAATGCTGAGCAGAATGCTCTAAGAGAAGAGAGCCTTGAAACAGGGTTCTGTCCATAGGTGGAGAGTTGGGGTTGACCAGCAACATGCACGAGGCATTTAACAGTGTCTCTGTTCTCTTTGCCCTCTCTGGCCCAGTATATTGAGTCTCCTGACGTGGAGAAAGAGGTGAAGCGTCTCCTGAGCACCGATGCTGAAGCTGTCAGTGTCCGTATCCTTCCAGTGGGGAGAAAGCTCGGGAGTGGGACAGGACTCTGTGTGACCTGGGGGTTCTGGGAAGGACAGACAGGTTGAGCTTTGCATGGGTGGGGGACGCTGGGAGATAAGCATACAAGAGGCACTGAAGTTTTGGAGCCTCATCTTTGCCGTGTTCAAAGCTTATTGTTTCCTCATGGTGATCTTTCTTGTTGTGCTGAGCAGGGACTGAAATAACAGTAGAGGAGAACTCATCAAAAAAGGAGTCTGGGGTGTTTAATCCTGGGTGATCTCCTGCAGTTTTTAGCATTCTTCCACTTTCCTCTTTTTCCCTTGACCCCCCTGTTCCTGCTGCCAGGCTGGGAAGTCATTGCTGAAGATGAAACAAAAGAAGTGGACAACCATGGTTCGCTCACCAGCCTGGACATCTCTTCCCCAGGGATGTCAGGACACAAGCAAGGCCACGGCTCCTCAGGTGCAGTGGGGAAGGCTCTTGTTTTCTTCCCACCTACTAAATGATGTGGTGGTCCCTGACAGGCAGAGGGTACTGGGAGATCATCAGCTGTGTGTTAACTCTTTTGCCCCCACCTAGAACACGATGAACTGCGGGAGATATTTAACGACATCAGCAGCAGCAGCGAGGACGAAGATGAGAGGGACCATCATGACGACGAAGACCTGAACATCATGGACACTGAGGAGGACTTGGAGAGACAGCTGCAGGACAAGCTGAATGAGTCTGATGGGCAGCAGCAGGAGAATGAGGGGTCCAACCAGATCGGTGAGTGGGTGGCAGAGCACAGCAGGATTGTTGGGATGCCAGGCAGGCTGCACTGCCCGGCTCTGCTGCTGCTCTGGCTGTGAGATCACTCTCCCTTCCAGCCATGGGGATCCAGAAACAGATTGACAACCTGAAAAGTAAACTCCAGGAGACTCAAGACAGGAGGAAGCGCCAGGAGGATCTCATCATGAAAGTGGAGAACCTGGCCCTCAAGGTGAGAGCTCTCCTGGGGTCTCTTCCAGTCCTCTGTTTAGCACTGGCTTGCCATTAGATCCAGCAGACTGATTTAGCTGCTGCCCTGGAAAAGCCAGGGGCCCTTGCATGCTGGATTAAAAATAGTTGTGGTGTGGTCATACACACTCCAGCATTTCCCTGTGGAAGCAAAGCAGTCTGTGGAACTGGAGGAGATAAGGGGGTGTCAGTGCAGCTGGGGCCTTGCTACCCTGTTTGTCATGTTGTGCCAGCACCCAGTCAATTGAGAACATGTTGGTAACTGTGGTCTGGCATGTTTGTCTCTACAGACCCGTCTCCAGGCTGTCCTGGATGAGTTCAAGCAGCAGGAAGAGCGAGAGAAGCAGCAGGTGAGGAAGCTCCCACAGTGGAGTGGGAAGTACTGGGGCACAACAAGGTTCTAGGCTTGGCCTCTGACCAAGTGTCCCCAGTCCTGTACCACACCAGCTGCTGAGAACTCCAGTATTCCAAGTCAGGTGGGGTTGTACCTCACCTGTGGTTGCATGGAGCTTCCTGAGGCACAAGGAGATACAGGGAGAGGGTTGATTGCAGCCTTCCTTCTGAAGGAGCAGTGAGCCAAAACATGTCCAGTCAGCAGTCCAAAGCTGCCAGGATTGCTGACACACAAACCCACTGGCATCCATGCACCAGAAAGGCAGTGGGTGTAGACTCTTGGCAGATTTCCTGCCTGGGCAGCTCTGTTCCAGCCAGGTACCAAGGCAGGAGGTTCTTTCTCTCACGTTCCTGTGGGCAGTGCCAGTTCTGTTCCAGAGGTGCCCAGGCACAGCTCTGGGCAACACGCAGGCATGGGTAGAAGATCTGCAGGAGCACAGAAATGCTGAGGCTGGGGCTGCCCAGAGTCCCAGCCGTGCCTGACTGTAATCCTCTCCCTCTTCCCAGATGGCATCCCTGCAGGAGCAGCTGGAGTCCCTCATGGAGAAATGAGGAGTGGGCTTGGGTCTTTGTGAGCAGAGCTGAAAGTGGTGGTCACCTGCCATGCTGAAGTCTTTGCTTTACCCACACACTTCTGCTGCCAGAAGTGCTGCTGGGCAGTGCCAGAGGTTCCATGTCCAGAGCTGCTTTCACATCCATTGTGCTGGGTTTGGCTGGTGGAGCTGAAAGATTGAACTGTGCCTGTGAGAGCAGCCAAAACACCGGATTTACTGTAAATACTCAGCGCTGATCTCCCTGGGACAGCACAGTGTTGGTTTCTGCATAGTATCGAATCTTGGGCTTGCTGGGCTGTGGCCTGGTAGGAACTTGTTCTTGTGTTTGAGGAATGCTTGTGTCTGCAAACCAAACTCTAATAAAGTACCCTTTCCAACCCTGGTCTGTTCCTGTGTGGTCTCTCGAGGGTCTGGCTACACAACCCCTGGCAGGGAGCAGTTCCCGGACACCTCTGGGGCACTGCTGGGCCCCTTCCTCAAAATGCTCCCTGTGGGGCTGGGTCAAAAGTGACTGTGTGCCATCACTCTGGGGGAGGAACCAGGGCCTCCTGATCAGGGAGTTTCTGTAATTCCTCACAGACTAGGCAGGCAAATCCCAGATTAACCTGACAGGGTGGGAAGAGGATTAGAAGGGTGGTTACAGGAGGCAACAGAGGACACCAGGGGCTTCGGCAAGTGTGTGCTACGGCGGGACACCCCTCTCAAAACCCAAAGGGCAAGGGAAAGGGGGAAGGCTTCCAAGCTCTGCCCCCTGTACAGAAAGGAAAAGCTCAGCAGCAGCCCTGGGAGATGACAGCTGTGTCCAGATAGTCAAGAAAGAGAGAGAAGCCTGAGGAAGACGTGGAGCTCAAGAAGGGTGAGAGCGTGCCTGCGTGCACGTGCCCTTGAGCTGCTCCTGGGGGCTGGCAGGAGCAGCCATGGAGGAAACCTACCTGCTGAACGTGGAGGGGGTCAAGAAGAAGATCCTGCATGGAGGTCGAGGGGAGCTGCCAAAGTTGCAGGATGGGAGCAAGGTAAATTGTCTTTGTTTGTTGTTCCCCCAAGGCCCTGGGAGAGGGATTGGGTTTGACACCACCAGTCCTGCCCATTACAGCCCACAAGCTGAGCTCCAGGTCTGGGGTACAGCGAGATCCCTCACAAGAGAGGTGTAGGAAGGGCTGGTTTGGGCACAGGCAGCCACGTTGCCCATGTCCTCACCTTGCACTGGGCCTGTGACACCTCCTCCCTCTGTCCTGGTGCCATGAGAGCTCAGCAGCCCCCATGGGTTGCTGAAATCTGCCTTTCCTGCCTTTCCTCCTCCAGCAGGAGTGAGGTGAGCCAATGGGTTGTCCTTGGGAGATTCCCCAGACCCTGAGTATGGGCAGATCAGTGTGGGTTCCACCAGGTCCTGATGCACGCAGTGAGAGCACCCCCTGTCCTGGGCTCTCCACGGGGGAATCCATAGGGAGCAGCGTAGATGGGTGTTGGGACACTCCACTATCTGCCTGTTGTCCTAAGAGAAGTGGGCAGCAGTCACCATCTCCTGCTGCAAGGGGAGAGCTGCCAGTCAAACCAGCACACTGCTGGGAGCAGGCCTGACCCCACAGCTCAGCTCACTGGGACTGCCGAGGGGACTGAACACGGGGCTCTCTCCGGGGCAGTTCACCTTCCACTTCCAGACGCTGAAGGACAACTTTGAGCGGACGGTGATCGACGACAGCCGGGAAGCTGGAACACCCATGGAGATCATCGTGGGCAAGATGTTCAAGCTGGAGATATGGGAGACGCTGCTCAGCTCCATGAGAATCGGGGAGGTGGCAGAGTTCTGGTGCGACATCATTGTGAGTGAGGGGCCCGCCGGCACCCATTTCCCTCCTTCCTGCAGAGTCAGGGCACAGGAGCATGCATCCCCCAGATGCTCCAGATGAAGGGGTGCATGCGCTGAGTGGGGTTCCCCCCTCCTTGCAGCACACAGGCATGTATGCCCTGGTCTCCAGGGGCATGCGGAGGATCGCGGAGGGACGGGACCCCTTGGAAGGGCAGAAGCACCGCTGCGGCATGGGCAACATGTTTGACTACCACAGCACGGGCTACGCCGACCTGGACGAGCTGCAGCGGACGCCGCAGCCCCTCATCTTCGTCATGGAGCTGTTCCGGGTAAGGGGGACGGAGGGGCGGCCGCCAGAGTGGGAACGGCTCCCACAGGCAGCTCAACTCCTGCTGCCCGCGCAGGTGGAGGAGCCCTCAGCGTACAAGCGCGACACGTGGGCCATGAACAGTGAGGAGAAGCTGGCGGCGGTGCCGGTGCTGCACAGCGAGGGCAACCGCCTCGTCCTCCGCAGGGAGTTCGCGCAGGCGGCCGCCAAGTACCAGGAGGCCGTGATCTGCCTGAGGAACCTCCAGGCCAAGGTGAGCGGGGCCAGGCAGCTCCCGACAGCCCTGCCTGGGTCGTGCCTCAGAGCGCTTCCCTGTGGGCCTTGGGTGCCTGGGAGGGGACGGCCACAGCCCTGATGCAGCCAACGTTTCTCCCCGGGGCAGGAGAAGCCATGGGAGGAGGACTGGCTGAAGCTGGAGAGCCTGGTCACACCGCTGGTGCTCAACTACTGCCAGTGCCAGCTGGAGCTCGGAGAGTACTACGAGGTGCTGGAGCACACGACGGAGCTCCTCCAGAAGCACAACGGTACCTGCGCCCTGCATCCCATCCCCTGCTCCAGGGACTCTGTCTTTAAATCCCCCGTTCGTGGCAATGCTTGTCCCATGTCCCTCTGCCTGTGACAGTACCTATGTCACCTGGATCCCCACATCCACTGCAGAACCCATGTTCCAGTTTCCCCTGCCTGTGACAGTGCCCACAACCCTGGTTTCCCCTACCCCCAGCGGCACCTCTAGGTCCACCACCACCACCACCACTTTTCTCCTTTCCCTGATGATTCCTGCCCTGCTGTCCTGGCCTCCCTGTCCTCCCTTACAGGTGTGTAACCCTGCTCCACGAGCTTCATGTCCCCTGGTTCCCAGGGTCTCCAGCTCCCGTGGCCGGTGGCCCTGAGCTGTGGGACCCCCACTGGGGGCTCTTCTCTCCTGGCAGACAATGCCAAGGCCTATTTCAAGCGGGCAAAGGCCCACGCTGCAGTCTGGAACGAGCGGGAGGCGCGGGAGGACTTCATGCGCGTGGCTCACCTTGACCCCTCCATGGCGGCCGCCGTGAAGAAGGAGCTGAAGCAGCTGGGGGAGAGGATGAGGAAGAAGCACGTGGAGGATCGGAAGCGCTACCAGGGGCTCTTCCAGTCCCCCCAGGGTCAGCGGGCCAGCAAGGGGCAGGAGAGCAGGATGGGAGGGACCCAAGGAACAGAACAACCAAGGGCTGGGGGTGAAGGGGAGGCACCAGGAGGAGAAGCAGCCCAGGGAGAGCCTGCAGGGGCAGAGGTGGAAGCGAGGGATCAGCCAGGACTGGGGGAAGAAGTAAAGCTGGACGTGTGTGGAGCAAAGTCAGAGAGCCTGGGAACAGAGGAGGAAGAGGAGAAAGAGGAGGAGAGAGAAGAGGAAGAAGAGGACAGGGAGGAGGCAGAAAAGGAAGAAGAAAAGGAAGAAGAAAAGGAAGAGGAAAAGGAAGAGGAAAAGGAAGAAGAAAAGGAAGAAGAAGAGGAAGAAGAAGAGGAAGAAGAAGAAGAGGAAGAAGAGAAACAAGAAGATGAAAAAGAAGAAGAGAAAGAAGAAGAGATGGAGGAGGAGAAGGTAGAGACAGGGGCAGAGGGAAAAGATGAAAAATTGGAGGAAGAGGAGGTGGGGAAGGTGGAAGAAAAGGAAGAAGAAGAGGAGAGGCAGAAGAATGGAGAGATGGGGTCAAAAGAGGAAGAAGAGAAATTGCAAGAGGGGGAGGAGGTGGAGAAGGAAAAAGAAAAGGAGGGAAAAGGGGAGAGGGAGGAGCAGAAGGTAGCAGAGGGAAAAGTGGAGGAGGACAAAGAGGAAGAGAGTCTGTCAGCAGAGATGGAAAAGCTGGATGTAGGGCAGTGTGGGGAATCGGGGGGGACAGAGGCAGCAGAGACTGAGCAGGAGCAAGAAGCCAGTGGGGCAGAGGAAGATGGCACAGGGAGTGCAAATGAGGCTCAGCCAAACAGAGACCCAGAGCCGGGGCCTCCCAGTGAGGAGCTGGAGCCAGCTGAGGGGTCCCCAGAGCTGGAGGACATGGAGGATGAGACACCTGGAGAGGGTCTGGAAGAGGAGAGCTGCAGGAAGCAGCGAGCAGGCAGGGAATGAGAAAATGCTGGGGAAGGGAACATCCCCCCAGACAGCTGCACCCCTGGGGCAGCCAGAGGAGGAGGCAGTGGGCAGTTATCCCTGCGTGGGGGAAAGGCTGCTAGAGCACTGAAAAGGAGGCACAGCACAGGCACCAGGGCTTCTGAGCCCTGAGAGGGAGCCCCGGGGCTCGTTCTGGCCCAGCAGTGACACGGGGACAATGCTGTCCTGACCCTGCCACCACTGAGCCCGCTGTCCCTGCTGTGCAGCAGTGCCCTCTGCTCCCCTGCCCCGACTCATGGGCTCCAGCGCCTTTCAGCTGGGCGCCACGGAGCTTTGCTGGCTGAGAAATAAAAGCTCTTCCCTGGCACTGTGTGCTGCAGTTGTTCCTGGATGTGACCGGCTTCCCTGATCATAGTCCACTCCTCCTGCCTTGCCCTGGAGCCCGGGGCACACGGGTGGGGCAGTTCGTGCTATTCCTGAGAGAGGTAGTTAAGGAGGTTGCATTTCACCCCCATTTAAGCTCCTGAGTCTCTCCCGTGTGAGAGTGTCCCCAAACTTCCCTGCAGTGGCACATGTCAGGATCCTTGCCCAGCACTGCCAGTCCTTCCAGACAGGGGTGAGAGCAGGTCCAGCCCAAAAAGTCCAGGCTTTATCATCAGCCTGGGCTGTACCCTGTGCAGTGGGGAGGTTCTGAGAGCTCCCAGCCTTACCCTGAGCTGATCCTCAGCTGAACCCCTCACTGTGCTGTAGAGGCACAGTGAACATGGGCAGGGGCACAGGCACACGGACACCTCTGGGCACTGAAGATTTAATGCAGCTCCAGAAAGAAAGCATGGAAGGAGAGGACTGCCCAGCATCCCACTGCTGCCTACATCCTTTCCCAGGGCTGAAGGGTTTCCTACAACAAAAGTTGCTGGGTGAGAAAGAGGCAACTGTCCCCACCCAGCCCCTGTCCCAGCCCTTCAGGTAAGGGGAAAGACCTTGCTGTGAGAGGACCAAGAGGGTGATTGGAGGGCAAACCTGTGTCTGGGGAACCTGGAGCCCTGCTCTCAGCTTCTGTCCTGCCTCAAGTGGTGTTGACAGCCAGGGTGACAGTGCAGGCTGTGTCCCAGCAGCCCTGCAGGAGCAGTGCCAGGATGGCACAGCAACGGGAGCTGACTCAGAGGAGATGCATGGATAGAAGAGGCCGGAGCACTGATCCAGGTCTCAGTATAAATACAAATTTATTCTCTTTCCAGAGCAGAGATGGCACAAAGCAGTGAGGACAGCAGCACCACAGTACATGGTTACCAGAGCATTAGCCAGCCTGCTCCCCTCCCACATCCCGGCTCCCAGACACAGCCCGAGTGCCCAACCTGGTCACCCCTGCTCCCCACACCTGGCACTGGGACCAGCAGCTCTGGCCCCTTTTTCTTCTCCAGCTCCCCCCAGGCTGGACACTTCTCACCTCATCTTCAGGCCAAATCTCTCTCCTCCCCACACTGCTCCCATCCTGCCACTGGGAAAACAGAGGGGTCCAGCCAGCACTCCAGGGCTGGCCTGTGGTCCCTGTCAGCAGCAGCCTGACACACAGCCTAACACAAAGCCAGCCTAACACCGACACCACTGCTACTGCCCCCCTGCCACTCTGTGAGAGGGGACAGCGAGGACAGCAACCCACACTGCTGCCAGCAGACACTGTACACAACACTGAGCACCTGGGCATAAAGGCTCACACCACTTCACCCCTGGTTCTCGTCTCTGCCAGCATGCCAACTGCACAGCCCTGGGCCTGAGCACACTGCCCTGGTCCCAGCATCCCTGAAAACATTTCACCTCTGCATCCCATCCCAGCCAGCAACAACAGCCCTGTCTCTGTCCTGGCACCAGAGCACTGGAACCACCTCAGCCCCCATTCTGGGTTACCCCACAGCACCTGACTCTGCCTCTTTCTCGACATAACACAGCCTGAGACAGCCAGTCTGAGGGAGCCTTTGGGACCAGGAACCACCCCGACACCCCAGCTGCCCTGCCAGCCTGCACAGCAGCCCCCCTCCACTGCCCCACAGGACTCACCTGCTTCCAGCTAGGGCTTTCAGCCCCCCAGCTCAGCTCAAAGGCAGGGGCAGCAGCCAGGTAGCTGCTCCCTGGGGGCAGAAAGGAGGTGCCCTACCTGTCCTGCTGTGCACCTGCATCAGAACAACCCCAGGGCTGGAGCACGGCCGGAGAAACCCCTTCCTGCAGGAGCTGAGGCTCCCCAAGGATGGAGCTGGGTCTGTGCAGGACGGGCTCTCTGTGCCATGGCAAGGGCACAGAACCCCAGGAAAGCAGGTGGGCTGGAGAACCTGTTGCTGGTCCAGCTCCTCTCACAGCAGCCCTCCTGCAGCACCAGCAACAGGGAAGGTGCTGGTTCCTGGGGGAGCAGGAGTTGGGCTGGTCTGAAAGTGAAGGGCAGCTACACTTACAGTATTAGAATTTAATGGAGTGAGTCCATGAGAGTGTTTAAGTACAGAATATATATATAATATATAGAAATATATGCACATTAAACGATAAGGCTCTGTTATAAAGACCCTCTCAGTATAAGGCTACTAGCTGGGCTGAAGCTCTAACATGGACTCATCCCTACTCCACAGACCTCACAGACTCTCTCCAGGTGGTACGTGCCTGGCTGGCTGCAGAGCCTTGGGTGGCAGAGCTTGAACCATAAGGCTGGCAGCTGGATGCTGTTATAAAGAGTTATTTTAAAAACTGGGTGGGGGGGCTCCAGGAGCGTTTTGGTGCCCATAAACCTCGAGGCTTCTGAACCAAAATGAAGAGTGGGAGACTGAGCTCTGCATCCCCCCCCAGGGCTGCAGGCAAAGGCAGCACCCCCTGCGTGCCAGGGGAGACAGGCAGTTTTCATGGCTTCAGTTCTTTCTTCCAGACCATTCCACCCAGGCTTGGACACCGTGGCCGAGTGACCAAGCCAGCCTCTTGGGAAGCCCACAGTCCCACTCCTGCGTGGCCTATGTTCCCCTGAGATCTTCTGGAGCTGGCAAGCATCCTGCACAACCTGCTCGGAGGGAGTCTGTGCGAGGCCTGCTGCAGCACAGGGAGCATGGCAGGGAGAGGAGGGGGAGGAAAGCAGCCAGGTAGCTGGTTAGGGAAAGCCTCTGGCTCACAGGAGGTGTTAGATAAGGGAGGTCATACCTGAAAGAGAAATAGACAGGTCAGGAAAATAGGACCCAGAGCCACCTGCTTAAAGGGGGCTGCTGCAGAGCCAGCAGGATCCTACTCAGGGATGGTAGGAAGTGGGCAAGAGTCTACAGGGGCAGACCACCACCTCGTGTTAGTGCTGGCACCAAGCTGGGTCCCCCAGGTGGAAGACCAAGTGCTGCTCCTGGACTGGAGCACAGAGGGAAAGAGCAGAACGACCAACACCCAAACTTGCTGGGTGAGTGGAATGCCTTCCACACACGCATCCCCCAGTCTCCATCCCTGCTGGGAAGAGCTGTCCATGAGCAGTCAGGAGAGGTGGCACCATTGCTTCCATCTCACCAGGTAACTGGGGCCTCAACCTCTCCTGTAGAGGGGTCTGGAGAGGGAGGGAGCCCGGAGGTGGCTCCAAGTGGTCACTACAGGCTGGGCGCTGGCAGGTCTGTCCATCTTCACGGTGGGTGCAGGGATTTGAGCAGGGCAGGAGGCTGCCTTGCATCTCATCTGGGGGGATCTATCTGGTCCATACTCTTGGCAGCTCTGATGGCCTCTCCTTGCAGGTGTGAAACCTCCTCCTCCTCCTCTCTCCTCCCAGTCCCAGCAGCACTGCAGCAGCAGAGCTCTTGGCTGTGAGCACTGGGGGTCATCAGCTGTCGCAGGGAAGCTGGGATCGGGGCAGGGCTCTGTGGGTAAAACCTCATCTGAGGGAGCAGCAAGAAGCGAGAGAGGAGGATTTTCACTCAAGTACCTCGAGAGCTGGGGAAGGCGCTCCGCAGCTTCTCCATTATGTCTTCCAGGCACATGCTGACCTCCTGGGTTTTGGCTTCCACCTCATCTGCAGTGGAAAGGAGGGTAGGAGGGTGTAAAGCAGGCTCTCTGGACATCCACCTCACTGCCAGCACTCTGGCAGGGCACAGGCAGCGTCCTGCAGCGTCGGACCAAGGGATCAGGGTCAGGAGCTCAGCCCAAACCCAATCCTCACCTGCAGCTTCGGTGTCAGGGGTGTTGTGCTCTTTCTCCTTTGCCTGGCTGCCTTCAGACTGATGTGGAGATGAAGCCGAGGAAGATGCTGCTGAGCCATTGCCATCTGACTCTGCCTGGGGCTGGAGCAAGAAAGGGGGCTTTTATAATCCCCTGCCCTTTTCTTCCTCCAATCTGACCATCCCCTTTCAGCCACTGTCACAGCTCTGATATGGCAAAAGGTCCCAGACCCTTGCTCTGAGCACACCTGCAGTAGCAGCTCCCTCAGCCTGTGCAGCTGGGACTCCAGCTGCTTGTTGTGGTCCTCCAGGATCTGCATGCGGGTCTCCAGGCGGCTCTTGTGCTGCCGGAGGATTCGCGCCTCCGCCAGGAGCTCGTCGTTGTGGGGGTCTTGCACTGATTCAGGGGAGCCTGTAGCCAAGGTTGGAGACTCCACTGCCTCATCGTGCTGCCACTTCAAACGTCTCAGCTCTCCCTGGAGGATCCTGCAAGGCAGTCCATGTCAGCATCACCGTGTTTGTTCCCAGGGACTGATGGAAACACCCGGCAGCTGCACACTGGGGATGGCCCACCCCTCGGGGACAAAGCTTTGCTGCTTGTGAAGCTTGAAGATCAGGATGCTCCTCTGCAGGGCAGCTCTACCCCATTTGGGGGGGTTCACAAACAGATATGTAAATGCTTCCCAAGAGGCTGAAAACAAGGGCAGGGAAAGCATCACCTCCTCCTGAGCTGATCTGCTCCACCTAGACCATCACCTCATGTGGTCCAGAGCAGCACCACCACTGTTCACAAGGGGGCTCAGGGACATGAAATGCAGAGTGCCCTGAGCTAAACTCAGCCAGTTTGCAGTTCAGGAGGGGAACAGCTTCTGGGGATGTGGGAAGGAACATTTTGGGAAACAGAGTTATCTCCTTTCCTTGTAGTGCACACCCTCACTGAGTGCTCCTCTGTGTTAGCCTGGACACCCTCCAAACCAGCCCACTCAACATCTCCAATCCCCGCCTACAGATCCAGCAGCTATTCCCTTGCTCCACTCTGAGCTTCACCAGGCTTCTCCACTCCCTTCCTCCCCTTAGGTTATAAACCTCACTTTCAGAGTTGCCCGTGCCTCTACCTGTTTTCATCCTCTAGGTGGGCCAGGATTCGCTCCAGCTCTCCCTTGTCATCCATGTTGAGGCTTCCTGGAACCTGCTGGCTGCCCCCAGGCTCTCTGTCAGTGATGGGGCTGGAATGGCGCAGCAGATACTGGTCCTCATCCCTGTTGCAGCAGGTGGAGAAACAGCTTAGTGAGAAACATCAGTCTGGTGGGATTTGTGTGCCCTCGGGGAAGGACAGCCTGGAGGGAGGTGGTTTCACGTGGGGGAGCTCATTCTGGCTGCTCCAGGCCTAGAGCTCAGAAGTGGCTCAGCATCCCTGGCTAGCTGGGGGTGCCCAAGAGCCTCTCACTCAAAGGGGCTGGGAAGCAAAGCATTTCTGTGCCCTGGCTAAGCACGGAGCTCTAACTCATCAGGAGGTGAGAAGGGAAAGGCAGAACTCACAGGCTGTCATCAGGGGACAGGCTATCATTGAAGAAGGAACAGTTCTGGCTTTCCATCTCTGCGAG